CAAAACACAAAACAGCTTTGAGCTTTGACAAAGTAGGAACATCGATAAGCCTGTTTTTGCTTGAATTATGAATTGTTCCTGGATTCGTGAATAACTTGTTACTATTGCGGTTTCCAATTTACAGAGAACACGAAACAAACAATGGGCTTTAAATAATGTAGGTTACGCATAACATCATCATCTTTCTTACTTTATCCTACTATCATCCAATATATCTCCAAATAACTATCATCCGTCACCCAAGTCATCACTCCCTTCTTGATCATGTCACCTTTCACGTATTCAATTCACCTCTTTCTAGATCTACCTCTACCGGTGTACCCTATATTTATGCTTCTATACTAATATAATATAGCGTAAACACACACTTCATGGCGTAGGATGCCAGCAATCACAGCGTTCACGTGGGAAAGGCGCCATAAACTACAAGCTGCCAACATTAAGGAAGCATTGCTATTATGGTAACGGTAATTTTAACATTTGCAATTGAGAATCGGACAAATGTAAACACTAAAATAATCCCAAGCGGATGAAGTCGCACAGCAATAGCTTTCTATAATTATTCAATTTCACTCAAAAGAACTAAAATAGGAGAAGTCGACAGCTTTTCTAACTTAAAATATTAGTATATTTAACGAGAAAATTCCAGTTAAAAGCACTTTTCATTCGTCATTTGCATTGTATTGGTTGTGTAATGTTCACTCCAGACGTTCATGAATAAACATGCAGAAATAAATAAAGCATTGAATAAATTTCAAAGAGTTTGTTTATTTCACCCATTGTCCTCGAGTTATTTACATTTAAAATTTACTCGTACATAACAAATTAACATTTATAATTTGGAATTACCAAGACTTCTCTGAAGCCAAAGAAATAATGGATGAAAATTTTAAGCAACATAAAACATGTAGAGAGATTTAAAACATAATTTTACCTCACTTTTACCACGATTATACAGTAAAAAAGTCAGAAGCCACTCTTACACTTGGCTATTCATAGACTAGTATTATAAAAGATAAAATAAAAAAAAACAGGTTGCGTACCCTTAATACTATTATGTTTCTAATTAAATCTTACTGTTCTGTCTATTGGTTATTTTATTGTTTTTAAAGAAAACGTTTAAATTTTAATACAAAGTGTAGTGATCCGCTCATATCTTGCACAACCACTGAAATATCATTTACGATTCTCGTTAAATTGTCGTTAAAATATCTTAGCTTGGAACTTTTCTCAGCTTTACTGTGGCCATAAGATTCTATTTAATCTTTGAAGAGCTCTCAGTTTTATTGTCACATTGTTTTAATGTCCCTTACCTGTGCTCTTACTTAAAATATAACTTTACACACTTATACACATTTAAAGTGGTTAAAACATTAGTGCGAGAACATAAAAGGTAATTTGGTAAAACATTCACTTTAATGGAATTTTCACGTCTATTATACATAATTGTCTCATAAATAACCTAACTTATTTGGTATAGTGATATACAGTTTTCATCATAACCCTTATCCCATGTCAGAACAAAAACCAGACGTAGCAATATTTAAGGTTATAAATTCTATTGTAGTTGTAAAGACAGAACTAGTTAAGTCTAAAACTTATAGTTAATAACTTCATTGTACAGCGAACTAATGACCTTGTTAACAACTTCAACGGTATTAGTATTATCTTATAATCCAATTTAATGTCTTCAAGTAATATCCCGTAATGTTGCAGGTGTTAGATATTTCCACAACTGACTTCCTTTTTAACAATACTTGTAAATTACTTTAAAACACACAAACTGGACTCCAATGCGACAATGCAAATATATCGAACATTCCGTTGTGTCTGTAGTCATAGTTAATATTATAAACTAGCTGTTCCCGTGCGACTTCACACGCATGTAATTATGAAAATTTTATTTCATTGTTTACATCTCTCAAATTATCAATTATAAATGTCAAAATGATATGACATGATGACAACCTTGCTTCCTTGATATTGGCAGCAACTTATGGTCTCTTTCCCACATTAGGGGTTTTATCCAAAATATTTACCCCCTAAGTTTAATAGCGTTTAAATAAATAGCCTAAAGCGTGACGCAAGTGTAGGGCTTTTTATTAAAAAAAGATTTATTTTAAAATATACTATTATTGCTGACGTCTTAGGCAACAAAGAAGTGTGTGTTTACGCTTTATTGTAATAGTAAAGAAGTAAAGATTACTAGATGTGACTACAGTAATGTAAATCCCTGTATTAAAATAATATCGCCATACCTATCATTACCTTTGTAAATAAGAGAAACAACAAACAATGTTGTGAATGGTTTTCGTAACACAAAAACAAATGAATACAGACAATTATGTAAAAGTTTAATTAGATAGAAGTTTGAGGATGAAATGCACAATTTAAAGTTAATTAACTCTTAATGCAATTACAGATTGTATATATATGTGTTTGTGCGACAGGGAATCGTTTAAGGCAGCTATAAAACCCAATATTGGTACTTCGTTTAATTAAAATGGAACTCTGTTGCGAGCACAGTCGATGTTAAATTAAACACAAACTAATCACTGCGGAATTAACATACCAACGTGTATTTGTAATTGTCATTGTTATTGAATTTCGACGGTATTTTAAAACGACAAAGCATATTATCAATCATGAACCCGTTATTTGAACACATCATCAACATTCTAAGGAATCAAACTTGTATTTTTTATTCTATACTAACATTATAAATAGAAAAAGCGTGTATTTTTGTATGTCGTTATACGCCTTAATAAATAAAAAAAACTACTGGGTCAGTTTCAATTTTTTTTTCTTTATAAAACTGCATTATCACTGAAAAACGAAGGCAACATTATTACTTTTAATATTGTTTGGCATACAATATAAGTATCGAAGTATAACCTTAAACATTTACTATTTTCCAGACTGCTTCTTTATTGTTTTCATCAAGTACTAAGAATCGAAGTGCGAATGGCTTTTAACCTTTACGTCTACAAAGTTTCAGTCTTTTATTATGATTTTCATTGATGTTCAAACAAAGGCGGGAATGTCAATATTTCACACCTATATCGTAGCTTTTAACTATAGACATTATATTATTTACAAGTGAATTGAAACAATTTATAATGTTGTCTATGGCCACATACGAGCCTAGTCTGATGGCCATTTTAAAAATTTTAATAGGGACGAAAGATAAACTGATTATAATCGATAACGACTAGGTTATATCAATTTAATTCAATTTTCAAAAAGGACTCAACTTGCTATGTAATACACTTAATTCATTTATACTTTTAAATCTAATTAATTTACTATACTATACATGTGTGGTAGACAATAATTTCCGGATACAGTGTGGTCGTGACAGCTGCGATTACAGAACAATATTGTCTCGTGCATATACATAGTGTATAAGAATACATTATGCCATTGCCACGGTTCATATCAAAATGTATATGACAGTTAAATGCAAGGTTTGAAATATGCCAACGAAAAACACCGATAACCCGAATATAACATTATAACCTTTCACCTAACCACGCTCTTTTACCATCGAATTTTGTAGAATACGACGGGTTGCATAATATTGTAAACAAGAAGGGGATGGATGATAAAGCGGTACTTACCTTTTTACCCGCCTACAGGCTTGGTCTGTCGTTGTCAGTCTAGTTCTGTCAGGTCTATAGGCGCCAGCAAGGATCCCTGCAGATGTACCAGTTTGCACAGTTATTGTTCCAAACTCGAAACCGAAATTTAAACTCCGTACGCTAACTAAATGACACGCACATTGTTTTTCGCGATGTCGTTTAAGCAACCTTTGAACTTGCCCTTTTGTAACCGACCGACTTGTTTACTGCTTGCATACTTTTTTCTGTACCACTACCTTCTACTTCTACCCTCCTTTGCGGGAGAATAAAAATGCGCCCGGTTACCCGCAATAACTCGGACCGCGAAATTTAAACCATATGTGTGCCACCGAATGTAGCTAATTTGTATTATCTGTACTAACAACATTTTTATGGGAAAATAAAGGAAACGAGTAGTTGTAGTTGATGTACCACGAACTCGAAGAAAAAGTTTGAATCATCGTTCCTTTTGCGTATTGCAAGAGATAGGAACGAGTTGTCAGCATCAGTTTTTCCCTCCAAATATGAAAATAAACGCAACGAGTATTTTAAAATAGAAGCACCGGAAATGATATGCCTTGCGGAATTCAACAGACAACAAATAAATGCAGTCTGCGGTTTTTACAATATAACTGTTGTTCTTTTATGCACAGTTGTTTTATTGAAAAATCTTCTATGTGCAGTACTTGTTTCATTTTTTTAATAAATAAGGCATCAACCGTTATAATTACATTTTCACAGTACAAATAGTAAGGGAAATTATTATTATCAACTTAATATCCTTAGTACAAGACGCTTCAAGCACATTAGAAACCATCAGCAAACAATATAAACCGTAAGCAAATAAAAGCTCATAAGTCAAACAAGTTTGTTACGTAAACTTTTTGACTGTCGTTAACTTAATGGTGTTTACTTTTATATATCATAATATTATAGGACGCCACATATATGTTAGACTTGGTATATTTATTTTTAATTTTATTCCAAAATTGCAATACGTCTAAAAGAATTAACATTCCAATTTTTCATACAATAAAAATATGTATTCAAAATAGTTCCGTCATTCGTAAGCAAGTAAATCATTTTAAAGTACTATCTATTTTAAGACCATGTATGCTTTAAACAATATGAATGAGATATTTTAATCTCCACCCATTCAGTAACACTACTCTTTGTAGATACAAAGAGTTATACGTCATCTATTCTTTTGTTGCTAATTTTGGAATCTACAGCTAAATATATATTTTTGTTTTTGAATGAGAATAAAAAGGAAGAATAATGATTCGACGGTAAATTAACGACAACCGGTGACTCGTTAAAACATATAACAATTGGTAACTTGCATGTATCATGTCTTGTATTTCATAAATAAAACGACCATTTAGTTTCATAGCTTTTATTCAATTTACACTACATTTTGTACACATGTTGTAATTTATTTCTAATGATTTAATTGAATCTTATTTTACAGATACAGAGTCTTTAGTAATTTATTTACTCAAAACTGTGAATTATTCCATTCTACATACATTCAACATACACTTTTACACTCAAATTTTCACACTTTGAGATATGACAAAACTAAACAGATTTAAAATAATTCAGTTATCAATGGTCTTTGATATAAACAATATTCAGACCATATCTTCTCTTGCGTTGTGCCGTTTCTTCCTTAAAGTGTATGGCATTTGCGGCATGCCTTGAACCTTTCTCGGGCTTTTGCTTGTTATATTTATTTCTGACGTCACTAAGGAATCTAAAGTCTAACAAAGAAAAACATCACTTTAAAATTATATTTCAATAACTAATATTGGAACAATAATTGAGTTAAATTGTAAAAAATATAGATTTAATTAACATCTGCGGTGCAGTTAAATGTTCGGTCAGTAAGTGAAGATTGAGTGTGGAAGTGTAAAACAAGTGTCACGTTAAGAATGTCTCTGAGTACGGCACAACTATTGGCGTACATAATAATAATAATAAATCAGTATTGGCAAACAAAAATATGGTATTTACCTGATTATCTATAAGGTCCCGATCACCGAGTGCCTTTACTATATTTTCAAATTCCTTTTGAATGTCTTTATTTTCCGTTTTCTCAATACAACTTCTCACTTTCGATATCTAAAACAAATCATCAATTATTTCAAATTTACAACTGTCAAATATTTATTTATCATTTCCTTACAGTTTCTTCAAAGAATGTATGTTTATGGTTTTGTTCTGGCACGTCAATTTCCATTACAGATCTCAAAACTGGCAACGCGTCATCTACTCTTCCCATTTCAGCTAACGCTATCACCTGTAATAAGATAAATTATTTATCTTACTTCGTACTAATATAACGGATGGATGGATGGATGTTTGTAAAAGTTTTTATTTCAAGCGAAGTCGCGGGCTAAAGCCAGTACTAATATAGTTTTTGCGTGAATCGAATACATACAAAAATATAAATCTTTTCTCTTTATAAGATACGATAAAATCTATAATTTGCCTACCCCTGTTTTACTCATGGTAGGGAATTTGTTAAATTTAATAATTTACTATCTTTTCGTTGGAACAAATTAAAAAAACACTAAGTAAATAGCTTATGTGTTTTACATAGTATCCATTAAGCCATTTAACGAACATCCGTCCATCCATCCATAATATCAATAAGAAATATAAAAATATAAATAGTAAGGAATGAAATATGTTTAACTTACATTGTTATTATTAAAAGCTAATTTAATAAAACAATAAAAAATATCCATAAACAATTACCTTAATATTTCTAACAGTGACATAATGTGGTTTTTGTGCTGATATGCTCTCCAATGCGATGTGCGGAGCGCCTTGATTCAAAGCTAATGCTATAAAACAAAGTGAATATTAAATGTATGAAGTATATAAAATACTAGCTTTCCGCAATTTAATCCGTGTGGAATTAAAAAAAAGTGTGTAGTCTATGTGTTCTTCAGGACTATCTTCTACATCTATGTCAAATTTCATCGAGATCCGTTCAGCAGTTTAGGCTACAAACTCAAACAAACATCCATCTAAACTTTCGCATTTATAACATTAGTAAGATTAGTTCAAAGTGACAAAAAATAATCTTAATTTTTCTTTTACCAACTCATCACATTTGATCCCATCTTTATGTTACTTTATTAGAAGACAAATTATTATAAATTATTACAATTCTTGAGTAAATAAAAGTATATAATAACCCCATATGTTGAATTAAAAAAAAAGTATCCCATGCGTTCTTCCAGAATATGCCAAATTTAATTGATATCCTTAGAGCCGTTATGGAGAATTGTAGTACAAAAAAAAACATTCATCCATCAATAAAAACTTTTACATCTCACTAATCACTAATATTATAATCTGAACCGATGGACAGATCTCTATGAAATTTGGTATAGATGTAGAAGGTACTCTGCAAGGATACATAGGCTACTTACTTGTACCGTGTACGGTGTCGCGGGCGAAAACTAGTTTATAATATTAGTAAGATAAGACTTAAAGTAATTGATATACTCTTTGTATTAATGTTATCCGCACCTGCAAATAATGTGGCAGCTCTTCTGACAGGCACAGTCCCAACACTTGTCATTTCTGTCCATATTTTTGTTGCAAATTCCAAACTTTTTGGTGTATTCTACAAATACAAATTTAATTAAATAACAATTGCACTTGAAATCACTATGACTAAAAATATAGGTTGCCAACAAATGATCTAGCCTACATCTAGGTGGGTAAGCTATCATTAATAATGTCTTATTTAAAGTAGTTTTTATATATTACGATTATCTAGGGGATTAGCTACCCTATACCTTTCTTGGTGACACCCATGATCTCAAACTATATTAACTTATCAATTATTTAAAAAAAAAAATCATCAATTTACTTTGAATTACAAAAATATATGGACAGGTTATTGTTAACTTATTTGTAGTTGTGTAGAGAACTATAGTTCTTTGTAGTGCAAATGGACAATATAAAATCTAACACTTAAATCAATGGATATCAAGCAAAATAATAACAATAACTCTCAGATCTCAAATTGGGTTTATGTGTTCTAAAAGAATTTAATACAATAACTTACTTGTTTATAACAAGCAGCTAAAACCACTATTAGTGGATACTTTGGGAACTTTGTCATATTTAACTGCTTCTCTTGTACTTTTTCAAACACCCTGTACATCTCGTCAAACATTTCATGGTTATATAATAGATCAAGTAATATCTGATATGAGACAAGCTGATCATAGAAACCACTGTTTTCCACATCTTCAAAGGACTGAAATTAAAAAAATGATTAACATTTGTTGTCATACTAAATTTGTAGTTATGAAAATTGTTAACAAGTAGCAAATACAGATAAAAATATCTTATACTTCGTTATCAATTTTTTTCTTTAATACATATAAAACTAAATTATGTAAACTTTTGTAAGACATTTTATAACTAAATGTTATACGGCTGTTACATCTACTTTTTTTGGTGACGCCACCAACCAGTTTCAGATCCTGCATAGGTCATCATTCAGGGCGAGGGTTAATGCGGTTGTGTCGCGGTCGCGTCGCGCCTCTCACTGGTCGGTACCGTCACCGAAAAAAGTAGATGTTAGTAACAGCCATATATTATTTAGTTACATATAAAATGTTGGAAAAATGACCTTTATCTTACATTTCTTCTCTTATATATCTTTTCTCTAATATCTTACCAAGACTTTTTCTCTAGATGAGCTTCAATGTATTAAATTAAATAATTAAAAACCCAAAATTGTTGGGTGAACTTAAAATATGGTATGAGCAATTTACCTTCAATGCTTCATTAGGTGCATCCAAGAAATGAAACATTCTCATCACAACTGGACCAAAAACAAATGAACCAAACCTAAATTCCGTATTTTGATTATTGAACCTGTAAAATGTAATAGCAATGTACCATTTAAAATTCCTATTCCATTTTTATTTAAACCTTTTTGTTACTTTTTGTCAATGTGTACTCACTTTTTAATCATATTTAACACAAGATCCAAATCTGTTGGCTCAGCCATATGAACCATATTTTTTAAGTCTTCTGTAAATATCATATGTTTAGGTTCAGATATAAAATCTCTCATTTTGGCCCTAAAGGTATCAGAAAAATTAAAGAATTGATCCTTCACCCTTTTTCGAGATTGAAGATATCCATCAATACCAAGAGCAGTTGGCGAATAAAGATTAAGAGCTGAAAATAAATCATTATTTTTAAATAAGTTAAGTGACTTATATCTGATTTTAGCCGATAGAATTGAAATAGCATTATTATTTTCTTACCTTTCGTAACATGAATTGATCTGCTATATGCTGTTAAAGAGCGAGAAGAACAAAAAGCTTTCATAGATTTAACAAACATTGTCATTTCAATTTAAAATATAAAATTATTCCAAAATGTTTTCACTGAACAAAAAATAGGTTATGTTAGGTTATGTTTTTTCCTCTACATTTGACATTTAAGGACCATCAATCTCGTTGCCATTATTCCAAGTATCTATTATTTTTTCAGACCAATTTATTTTAAACTAGGAGTAAATAAAAAATGCTCCTTTTTAATGGAAATTAATTGATCTTTAAGTTCATCCAAACAAAATTGCTGAACAGAACAGATATATTTTTATAGGCCAACAAAACTTGCATCACAGTTATTTTTTTGCTGCATGACACTGACGTGACAATTGAAAGTTTGACATTTTGTTGCGAAAATTATAGGACGTTGCACAAATCTTTATCTTTAATAATTGAATCTTTAATAAACAGATAAATACCGAGTACATCAGTGTTATGTGTATATTAACCTTAGAAATTACAAATACTTGAACGAGATTTACAGGTTTTATCCAAACTATTCATCGAACTATGCTTATTGAGCAAAAATTTTTCTCAGACAAATCATGCGTGTTTTGTCTCGGATAAATTTTAATGTTACTTTATAATGAGACTTAATTGTTGTTCAAAAACACTACTATTTTTATTAGACAATCTTATTTATATACTTTTAGATTTCTAGAAAAAATAAAGGTACATAAGAACACATACGATAACTGTAATATGTAGTATACTAAGAGAGAGTAAAAAGTTATAGGAAATGAAAAAAACAATGTTTGGAACAAACTTTAAATGTTAGTCTGAATATTTTTCTTCTTACAACTTATCTGTTGTTATGTACCTGGTAAAGCAAAACTAATTTAAAACAGTGCTCATGTCATGAATATTAACTTGTTTAAAGTACAAACTGATTATTCATTTTATTAAGCTGTTTTAATTTATTTTGCTAATCAGATATTTGTGCTATTGTGTTTTTAACATTTCATTGTTAGCTTTTGTATGGATATGCATCTTTGTACTACACATGTACTAAAATTTGTACTTTGAAACTGTCATGACATGTGTACTGTTTGAATAAAAAGGAGTAAGTATTGTATCAACACTTCTAATCAATTTGCAATATCAACATTGGAGAAATTTAAAAAAATACTGTAAACTATTTAGTTATAAAGTTATATTTAAATAACATATTAATTTTGTTGTATAGATAACCATGGATGGGACAGTAAAGTGAACAAAAGCGACAAGAATTTGAATGACTTTGAAATTGTGATGTCATATTCAGCATCAACATGAAAAGATTTACATCTGAGTAATGTTGGGAAATACAGATAATTCACAGGGTGGACATGTAATCAATGATATAGTTAACATTGAATTTAACCGCAAATTGTGTCAAATTCATAATAGTTTTCTCTTATTAAATCAAAATGTTTAATTATAACAGTTTATTATAATTATCTATTATGGATTTCACATAAGCCAAAGCTTACCACATTTATACAGTTACTTTAGTATTTGAGACAAACACTAATTTGTATATGTTTGGTTACAGACAGGACATTTGAAACATCAGCTTAAAGCTTATTACATTTACGATGGCTGAAAGTTATAGGAAAAGTAATAGGGATAGAAGTTATAAAAGCTCTAGAAGTGAGAGAAAATCAAAAAGTGTTAGAGAACATAGGGAAAAATCAAAGACAAAGCATACAGATTCAAAAACTCCACCTTTGCCAATCATGGAGCACTTCAGTATGGAAGAATTATTGAAAAAAAGAAAATTACTTTGTGAAAATTTAGAAAAATTTGAAACATATTCTTATAATGAACCTAAAACAATGAATAATATTAATGAAAGAAAACGAAATCATATAAATAGAGATAAACAGGACAATAAAAGTAAAAATTATACTGATGTTAAAATATTCAAAGAACCATTGCCAGATTATAATCATGAAGTCATACATAGTTCGGAATCTGAAGATGAGGAACATATAATCGAACAACGAAGAAAACAACGCAAACAACTATTAGAGCAATTAAATAACTCACAAAACAATATTATCAATATAGAAGATGATATCAAAATGAATGATAGCCAAGTTCATTATGAAATAGAAAATAATGATGCTGTAAATTCAATAAAAAATACAATAAAAGAAACAACTGATATGTTCTCTGAAAAAGATGAATTTCCTAAAAATAAAAACCCTGAAGTTATAATTCAAGATAATAATGATAAGAATGCAGAATTGGCTGATAACTGGGATGATGAGGAAGGGTATTATAAAGCAAGGGTGGGTGACTGCATTAATAATAACAGATACACTGTTAAATCTATTCTTGGACAAGGTGTTTTTGCAAATGTTGTTCGTGCTCAAGACAATACATTCAAAGATAATGAAGTAGCAATAAAAATTATAAGAAACAATGAGCTTATGCAAAAAACAGGTTTAAAGGAAATGGCTATATTAAAAGAAATCAATGACAATGATCCTGAAGATAAATACCATTGTGTCAAGTTACTTAGGAACTTCATACACAAAGGACATCTATGCCTAGTATTAGAACCGTTTTATATGGATATGCGATCGATATTGAAAAAATATGGCAAACACAATGGAATTAGTTTAAAAGCTTTGATGATTTACACGAGACAACTATTTTTGGCTTTAAAACTTTTGTCGAAAATTGGTGTTGTACATGCAGATATAAAGCCTGATAACATTTTAGTCAATGAGAATAAGAATGTTTTAAAACTATGTGATTTTGGATCGGCTGCAAAAGTTCATGAAAATGAACCAACACCATATTTAGTATCGAGATTTTATAGAGCACCGGAAATTATTTTGGGTATTCCGTACAGCTATGGTATAGATATTTGGTCTACTGCTTGTACAATATATGAAATGGCAACAAACAATATCCTTTTTACAGGAGGTTGCAACAACAAAATGTTGAAATGTTTTATGGACTTAAAGGGTAAAGTTCCTAGCAAATTGTTACGGAGAAGTAAATTTAAAGACCAACATTTTGATTATAAAAACAGTTTTCTGCTCCGCAAAAAAGACAAGGTGACAGAGAAAGAAAAAATTGTTGAAATGAGCCACATAGTAATTTGCAAAGATTTGCAACGTGATTTGAAGCAATGTTTTAAAAAATTAACTTCCAATGAAGAAAAAAAGTTGTTACAACTAAAAGATTTATTGGATAAAATGCTTATGTTGGATGAGAAGCAAAGACTGTCCGTAACAGATGGCCTTAAACATCCTTTCATTCAAGTACAAATTTAAACTGAAAATAAAATAGTTTTATAGGAATTTTGTTTTTTTTTCAATTCAAAAACTATACTTGTCAGTATTAGACAATCTCTTTTTATCTCTTGACTGAATTTTAGTAATAAATTTTTTGCATCGCCACATAATTATCTTTGATAATGATTATTATTGAATGAAATTTTGGGGTTTTAAAAAAAAAGCAGTTTCAGTAAAAGTATTTACTTTAATAGTTTACTAAGACAAAATATAACAAAAATATACGCCACCAACCAAGTATCACTTAAAACAAACTACACATGAGTGAGTTACACCATGTATAAGGGTATCACAATAACATAAGGAAAATTGACGTAGTCTTCAGCTATGATTGTTGAGGATAAATTGACGTTGCTCACTGTAAGTGTAATATTGTTCAAGATAAAGCGATATTTTTATTAGATTTATATAACTCAAGTTTTAACAAACATCTCACTGAAAGTAGATTATCAAGTACATATACAGTTTTGTACTCTCCCACTTAAATTCTCATAGTGTTAACAATTCTGAGTGAGGCGTTTAATATTTTAGTACATACAATTGTTCCAATTAAAAAAAAATCATAATATCGAGCAGCTTAAAATATTAAAAAAAAATAAGACTAGACATAATAAGCCCGGCTTATTTGAAAAAAAATCTAAAATCATTAAATTTTACATAATCATTAATAACAACCAAAATAAACGTAAAGGTTGGTGGTAGTTAATTCTGATGTTACAAGTATAGTTTCACAAACCCGCAAATTACCTTTCCCTTCTAAATTAGCTTAATGCTCTAGATCTTACTAATCTTCATACCTACAGCCTCAACAATATCAATCCACTACTCATACAAGGTGTATTAAACAACCAAATGATGTACAAAAAAGCTAAAGAATACGTAGTAAATGATTAAAATACAAACACATCAGATCTGATATTTCTTAAAATATAAAATATTTATAAAATAACAACATAATTATAGGCAAATAATCACAGAATACAAATAAACGAATTGAAGTCAATAATATCATAAAATAGCATCAGCTTTGCTGAAATGTTTCATTTCTTGTAATACCCAAGTGCCAGTAATAATTGTATTGATCAAAATTTATGTTACCAGCGGAATTAATTTCTTATTTGAATATTATTTTATTAATAAAAGGGAGATGAGATAAACATATATGACAGATCAATGTTATTGACATTTAGTCACAACATGGACCTTTGTTACATATTGCATAAATAAACTTGCGTTAGTAACATACATGTGAAAACTGTATACATTTCATGATAATAATTATTGAATTCAATAAATACTGTAGTATACATTGGTTTACAAACTACATTAATCGACATAACCTCAATGCAATATTTTGGGGATAAATGAGGTGGTTTTTTTTTATCTTATTATGAATCATAAATTAACCAAAGCACACAATTCTGGAGATATCAGCAATAACAAATAATTTGTAATACATCTATTAATATACAGTGACCAAATAAAATAAATGTTAATATGATCCACACTTGTACAGTAATTGACCTATAAATTATGATTTTGAAAAAAAAGTGTATGATCTACAAATAAATCATTAATAATTTTTTTTCTTAAAATGTTCCGTTTTTTTTTTATGTTTTTCTTGTTAAATTGTATTTCTATAGTCTCAAAAACTTTCTGGCCCAGCATTAGTGGTGCTGTTGTTGAGGTTAATTTTCTCATGAACTATCTTTAAACATAGAAAACGATACATGACAAGATTGCTCCGTTAGATTTACATTTACCTACCGGGCCAAACAAATCTCTGACTATACAAAAGATATTAAAAACTTTATCAATGTTGGATCATATGATATCAAACTTATAATAATCCAACCCAAATGCTATAAATAAATTGAAAGACAAAGGAAAAAACAGTAGAGCTATCTTTTTTTGCTATCTGTATTTACAAATATGGATAGCTGTTACAGCTTTACCCTAATATGAAACTCGGATGGATGGATCCATTGCATAACACTATATTAAAGCAGAAATGGATACAGTCTCAAGTTAGTTGATCACTGGTGCCATATCACAAGAAAACTATTTGAAATTGAGGTGCAACAAAATTCTTTAATATACGCATTGGATGTAATTCGTTCAATACCTTAACTTTAGACACTATGTTAGACAAACAACTAATGCATTTTATATTTAAACACATAGATAAGTATCATCATGGAATAATTTCATCACTATTTTCATGCATTTGCATTGTTTCACAGATTTGTTTTCCATAATAATCTATCTGCCTCCTCGCTATCTCTATTTCTTCTTATTTTGTAGTGTTATTGAAAAAAAAATTGTTTTTATCAAAATTCTTTTGGAGTAAATTCCTGTCAATTATTATTTATTAAAATTTATTCTTAAATCACAACTCGATAAAAACATTTATTTCGTTCAATAACAAATCATTAATATCATTGTTTGTATATTTTAGCGCTATTGATCCAATATACTGAGGATTTAATTATCTATGCATTTAAATATTTTGAAAATTGCTCGATTTGTCGATGTTTAATTCTAAAATTAGTAATGTAGTTCTTTGGATGTATGAAGTTTCGATTACCTGTGTATTATTGTTATGTTGATGGTATATGTTGTGTATGGAAGGCAGGCGGGGGCCCTGTCTCTATAGATTGTCCGGAGACTATCGAATCGGGACTTTGCAGTGATGCACTGTACACCGGGTTCATCGGCGTAGTACCTCCTGCCTCAAATAGTGTACTATCATATACACTGTTACTCTGCTGGAAGAAATTTCATATTAAAAGTATACTAAGTTAAAAATCACAGTTTTTTTTTAAATAATTCCTAGTTTGTTGAAATTACCTTCATATCTAGACCTCTATTACCTGATAGATATAATCAGAATCTGTCTTGAGCGAACTGAAACTCTGCTGGTGGGGTAACGAGACCTGATCATCTTCCATTGGTTCATCCATTTGAGCCTTGTAGGAGAACATAATGCTCGGCTGTGATACACTGGAAACATTAAATAAATGTATCAAAACATCGAAGTATTGATAACCCATGCAGATTCTTAGAAGAAATGATAAATTCTAAACACATTCAGTGCCATTGACTTACGCGAGTTCACTTGCCATTGAAAAACGAAAACATATATTCATTTCTTTAAGAATTGGTAAGCGGCAGTTACGACCTTTTAGGTTGAATCCATCACTAATAGTTTAATAGCTTAACAAGGTAGTTAACTAATAAATTAATTTACCTAAAAAATTCGCTGAGGAATGTGTGATACACCAATGGAGTGTAGAGAGAGAAATAGAGCCAAGTTGTGACATCAACAACACACAATCCCGATTGCATAGAGCCCCACGCCAGTAGCCCCGCACCTACTGCTTGAGTTGTATCCAACAATGCCAGTAGAAGTATATATAAATAAAATGAGAGTTTCGCTGTAACAATAATTATTATATAATAAACCACTTTTCATAGCTAAATAGAAAATAAAATACTAGCCTACCTTACTAATAGAAAATCTATACTCTATATAGTGTTTACGCTTTATTATAATGTTATATTAGAACTAAGATGTCAGCAATCACAGCATATTTTTGAATAGTCCTTTTTTTAATAAAAAGCCCTACACTTACGTCATGCTTTAGGCTATATATTTTCACGCCATTAAACTTAGGGGGTAAGTATTTTAAATAAAAATTCTAATGCGGAATCATAAGTTGCTGCCAACATCAAGGAAGCAATTGTCATTTGTGCATTTAATTTTGACATTTCATGCGGATGAAGCCGCATTAGAACAGCTAGTCTTTGATAATAAGTATTTTTGATATTAGTTAAATAATTTCTTGAGATTTAGAATCCAATCTAAAAATGCTTTTGTACATAAAAGAATATCTATACATAATTAAAGAGAATTTAGTAAAACCCATATAATCTCATAAATCTTTAAAGAAAATTATTCACTTGTAACTACTGAATTTCAACTTTGTAATTGATAAAAATGAACCCTTTCAATTATTTAAATCTAAAAATTCCAGAACACTAAAGAAATAAAGCATACTATGAATCAGTATAACTTCAATATGTTTTTTTAACCAATAAAGCACAAAGAAAATTGTAGGGCACAGAGCACTTGCAAAAAACAGCCTTGAATTCTCATTGTCACTTCAATATAATGATTTGAATTGGCAGTTGGAAATAATCAGTTAGTAATGCTATTGTCCATTTTGTAATTCTTTTAAATGTTTTAATGTAAAATGAGCAATAAATATTTATTAATGATTCATCAACAATATATTTCTTGATTATCTGCAAGCTATTTTAAAAATAAACTAACTGTCACTTACAATGCTGTCTGGCAATTAAAAAAAAACTGCAGTAGCCAGTGTGGTCTTCCAGATTATGTTTTACATCTATGCCAAAAATCATTGAAATCTATTGAGACATTCTAGAGATACTTTGTTACAAAACATACGTCCCACCATCAATCTAAACTTTCCCAATTATAAAATTAAGTAAAATTTAACAAAACAATATAGAATTTCTTACTTGGCAAGGCTAAATATTCTCGAAGAGGAATCCATGGTAGCAAGAGTATTATAAAGTAAATTATTGCAAACACTAATGATGATGTAAACCAGAATAGCATTCCACCATGTCCAAAGAGATCATAGTCTCTGGTATCAATGTGGAATATATCATCTGGCATTACAATTTCCAGTGTTCCTTGTGTTATTGTAAAGGCAAGTGATATAAATGATGTCGCCAGTAGGACATATCTGATACTGCTTCGGCTGTCCATATGCCCTGGAAATTAATAAGTTATTAATACAAAGAAAACCTTGATGTAAATATACAATAGTTGGCATTGAAAACACTCACCAAAAGCCAATCCAAATATTACAACACTCATTTCTGTTGCTAAGAGAAAAAATCTCACAGTAACCCATAAGATCTTGTCTACCAGACCACCGAATGGCATAGAAGCATTTACAGTCATTGACACACCGCATCGTATTAAGCTGATAATCACATTGCCCCACACCAGCGAGTAAAACGTCAAAAATATAGGACTGCTTGTAGCACGTAATTTTAACTGGGCCTTGTTAAACCTTACCACTAAGAACAGCACAAATAAAGCATTCGGTATCAAAATTATTAAATCCCAAATCCGGACCCTGCAAAAAAATAATAATGTAAACATTACAATAAAAACTAATATGTGCAAGACTATCATGAAAAATTACCTCGAATTGTTTATCTCGTAATATAACACATATTTACAAAAGGTATCCTCAGTAACTGGGGGAAAATCGGATCCGTTTATTCCGTACATTTTAATGTTTAAAAGCCCATTTATTGCAGTGTTACGAAATTATTCGAAAGCAATGGTAGAAATCATAACATGACTTTTAGTAATCAAATTTGTGTTTCATTACGTCAGCTCTGTTCTATCATTGTAAGACTGTGCACGGTTTTCCACTTTACTGTAATATCTTCACTTTAATCTAATTTATAATGAAGACACCATACAAATACAAATGTACACAACTACGAGCAATTCTTTATCTTCAAGAATTCGTTCAGTTCAGTTCCAGTACGCTGCATAATAGTGATGGGTTGAGAAAGCTCGGTTCGCACATTTTCTACTCGAATCACTCGATTTATCTTCAATTTTACTTATAGGAATCGAATAAGATCTTTCTTAAGTTTAAAATTATTCCCGAAAATAACATAATTTAATTTTATTAATTTGTTGTGTTATTGATTTATATCGATTTGAATTATTTTAATAAGAATTTATAAAAAAAATTAATAAAAGTCTACGACATTGACATGACGTGGACGTTCACCCAAGTTGGCACCGATCAAATTCACATTTGTAAAGAAGTTTTACCGGTGATAACTTGTGATGATATTGAATTCTTTTAGGATTTAGTAATAACTTTTTAATCAATAGATAATTTCGTATTTTAAGTAAAAATAGCTAGAAGAAAAGGAAAAGTATTCGTCATAATGGGAGCAGTTGCAGCAATTCTTGGTCTGTTATTTTTGTTCTCCACAGCTTGGACTGAAGAAGCTCCAAAGGGCCCTAAAGTTACCCACAAGGTATAAGTCATTACGTTTTATTAGTATTGCTTTATTTACCTTGAATTCCAAATCTTATTTTAAAAAAATCATATATGAAGGTCGCTGAACTTTTATAGTGACGCTTCGTGTTTCCGTTAGAGACGTCTTTGTTGTATTCGTTTGCTCGACAATAAGAGGTCAAATCTCAAATCCTTTGTGCCGGTTTATTGAATAATTTTGCTGGTTGTCATTATTTCATTTATACACAGTGAGTAATATTTTATTAAATTAATTTTTATTTTTTATTTTGTTTTAGGTCACTTTTGACATCACTGTTGGTGGAGAGCCAGCAGGTTCTGTTGTTATTGGTCTCTTTGGTAAGACAGTTCCTAAGACAACTGAGAACTTCTTCCAGTTGGCTCAAAAGAAAGAAGGTGAAGGTTACAAAGGTAGCAAGTTCCACAGAGTTATTGAGAACTTTATGATCCAGGGTGGTGACTTCACTAAGGGAGATGGAACTGGTGGTATGTTTTATGAATTGTTTGTGCTAATATATTTGCTTTTAAAATGAAGGTATATTTAAAAAAATATTTTAATAGGTCGCAGCATTTATGGGGAAAGGTTTGAAGATGAAAACTTCAAGCTGCGTCACTATGGTGCTGGCTGGCTCTCCATGGCAAATGCTGGAAAGGACACAAATGGATCTCAATTCTTTATCACCACTACTAAAACACCATGGCTTGATGGCAGACATGTAGTATTTGGCAAAATTCTGGAAGGCATGGTTTGTATTTTGGCATAGATAAAACATTACAAAGAAAATACATGCATAATATAAATTTTAAATCTACCTGTAGGTAATATGGTCAAGTGCTACTTTAATTAACTAAATCGCTAGAATTCTTTAAGTCCTTTATTGTAACAAAATTAATTAGTTCTTATGGTTTTTTTTCAAGTTGATTGGATATTTTAATTACAATACCATTCCCCTGCAGGATGTTGTACGTAAGATTGAGAAGAGTAAGACTGGAGCCAATGATCGCCCCGTCAAAGATGTAGTGATCGCTGAAACTCACACTGAAGTTGTCGCAGAACCGTTCAGCGTAACCAAGGAGAGTGCTCAATAACATATGACAAATTATTAGTTAACAAATATTTCATTTATAATTATAGAATATTTTGTTTTGTCACAAACTTGTGATAAACTTTACCATGCATTTGAATTAGTTCTACATACTCATTTCTTTTTATTGATTTCACTAAAATTGTGCTCTTTGAGTTGACATTTTAGGTAAAATAAAATGAATTAAAAACATCTCTTGTTTTATTTAACTTGGAAATAAGAATGCCTTATTGATGTTTTTTACAATACTCATATGTCTACTAGTCCCAGCCTTATGTAGACAGAAATCTGCAATTCATATTATATTTAGGAGAAGAGTGGTTAAACTGAATTGGATTATTGTATGTATCTCTTCTATATATACATATATATATATATATATATATATATCTAAGGTTATATATATATATATATATATATATCTCTAAGGTATATATATATATATATCTAAGGTTCGCCGCCGTGTACCAATGTGATTTTCGATTTTTCGAATTTTCATATGGACATAATTTACCCAACGTTCTTACGGTGAAGGAAAACATTGTGATGCAACCTGCACATTTCGGCGAAGAAATTCAAAGATATGTGTGAAGTCGACCAACCTGCACTGGGCCAGCGTGGTTGACTATGGCCCAATCGCCCTAATTTAGGGTAGGCTCCGAGCCCCTCGGTGGGGACATATAGTGAGCTGATGACGATGATGATGATGATGATGATGTATCTCTGATAAATAAAGTTTCTATTTATTTGGGTCATAAATGAGTATTAAGATATTGAGAAAATATATTTTATACAGATAAATTTATTTATTTTAATATTATACACTTAGGACAATTTTTTAATTTCTTTAAAACATAATTCTGCTTCATGCTTAATATCATCATTTTTTGCTGTGACACCAAGTTTCCACCCTGTCCCACATGATTTTCTAGCTTTTTCCAATAACATTTTCTTCATATACAGCCGTCCTAAATTAACATAAACAGCTCCTAATTCATTCATGTCCGGTAATTGTTTACCAATCTCAATAGCTTGTAATAAGTAACTGATGCCTTCATCATATTTTTCAAGATGATCACAAACAGTTGCAATGTCATTCATCTGTATTACTATATGTTCTTTTTCTACATCTAGTTTCTCCATTCTGCTCAAAGAACTTATCATCAGGTCCAGACCTTTATTACTATTCTCATAGTCAACTAATAGACGACCATACCAATCTTCAGTCAAAGCTATAAGTTTTTCTATTTCATTTAATGATTTTGGAGGTAATTCTTTTAATTTACTCAAACACCAATCATAACCTAATTTAGCTGTAGAATACTCTTTTTTTAAATGACTTATTCTAGCTAATTTCGCACTAATGTGTATAACACGAGGATCATCCTCTTTTGCACCTTCTGCCATTATTCTTTGGGTGACAGCAACAAATAATTGCTTAGCTTTATCTAGTTGTTCCCTTTCCAAAGCCAAATTGGCCATAATATCATAAATGTACGTTATACCAAGTTCATTTCTCATCTGTTGTGCTTGCCTCAATGCAACATGTAATAGTTGTTCTGCTTTTTCGTATTCACCTCTTTGAGAAAAGAGTACACAATGTTTTATAGTTTTAATTAATTCGTCTTCCGCGCTTAGTTTCTTGTTAAAGCCTAACCATGTAAATAACGAAAATCCCAACGTACATGGCACGACAGTTCTACCAAATGGAACTTTTGGTAGTTGAATTGTTGGACAATAGTACCTTTTCATATGAAGTAATCTTCTACAAAAATATCTGCATCGCGATGCCATTTTCGATTATTATTTTCATAAGTTAATATGGTATATTTTTTGGTTATATAAGATACAAGTCAAGATTTGTTTGATTTTGACAATGAAAGATTTTTGTAAACACACACAGCTGACTGGACCTTTGACATTTCTGTTAAATCAGTGAGAATGTTGCCAGATGATCGCCCAAATCTACGATGAAAATTCAGTCTAAAAAAACACCAATAAAAAGAGTTTACTATTTATTTACTATTACAATTTGCAGCCTTATATTAAATATTTCTATGCTTACAATGGGAACAGCTTTCTACAAAGCGACTCTTGCGTCGTTGGTTGTGTTATGCGATGATAAATCCCAGTTCATCAATCAATAAATTTAAAATTATTAGCCAACATTTCGATTCAGAGGTCAAGAGTCTTTATATATCTTGTAATCCCAAACGCCATGACGGTATTCCTCTGAAAGAATAGGTCGCCGAGCTTTTAATCAGTTTTTTTTAAATGCATAGTACAAAGAAACTCATTTCCATTTGATGTGAATTGTGAACTTAACAATTCTTACAATTGTCTTTTATCAATTGTTGGAGCGGAAAATATCTGCATTTTGTCCTTTTCTCCCAGGCATTTATTTCTCCATTGTTCGGTTGATTTTAATAATCTTGAAAATCCGTCGTAATCATCCTCGTTTTTATAGTTTGTAGGGGATTTTAAAGATTTTCTACTTTTACTAGAATTAAAATAAAGTTATCATAAAATTATAGCATATTCCATGCAACATAATTTGCAATTTTTATATAGTAATAGTACCTATAGGATTCCATAATTGTATCATCTACATTTTTAGAGTTATCTGAAACGAATAAATAAAATAAGCTAAAATAGAGAATAATTTTAAGTAAGTATTGACAAAATTATGCATACTTTAATTTATTTTGCTTTATTTAGAATAAGGAATATAATCCGAAAATCTATGAATAAAAAAATTATGGACGAGGCATTTATTAATCGATGGCGACGTAGCCGAGACCAAACCAGTTGCCCTTGAAGCTAAAACATGTACCAAGAAATATAAACAACAATAATAAAAGATATATGCAGGTTTGAATAAATTATCCGATTGGTATCGGATTATTGTTTTCATCAAATACTGTTTTAGCTGTTGCTCGCGACTTCGTCCGCGTGGAATTATAAAAATAAATAAACAAAGTCTATGTTAGTCACCGATAACATAGGTTTTAATGGCGCCAAAATTTTTGAAATCGGACCAGTAATTAATAATTCAATACAGATAAAAATCCAAAAATAAGAACCATTCTTCTATATAGACTAACTGCCGTCCGTAAATCGCGAATTAAATAATTAGTAGCCTATTCTTCCAGACTAGGTTTCCCATCTATGCGAAACTTCAGTAACATCCATTGAACTGTTCTGGAGATACGTAGTAACAAACATCCATCCATACATCCAAACATTCCCTTTTATGATATCTTATTGATGTATGAAACGAGAAGCATTAAATACCACTATAATTTTTCAATCATTTACATTCCAGGCGTCTACCAGACTTAAATTTAAAGTCTAACATTAAACATTTTTTAAAGTACGTTGACACCATTTTTTTAATAACACAGACGAAAATCTACTTTGATTCTAAATTGGGGCTACAGGACTTTGAATAAGGTATAAAATTCTTTACAATATAGTGTTTGTGTTCGATATTAAAATGTTACCCACGTTCTCGTTAGTATGGTAATTTAAAAACCATAAAACGAACACGTTACATGAGCAAATTGCACTGTACTGGTGTTATTACGTCTAGGTGTCACGTTAGTAGGTGGATCGATATTTTCTATAAAGGACTTACGATCAACAAACACTTTATTAGACTGAAATCATAAATGTAATTAAATAATAGAATTGTTGTTTAATTTTTTCATTAATTTGGGTACTTATTGTATTATGCAGTATTTTTTATTCGGGGGGATGGTAAATTAGAGTCATACTATTTGAAAATAACGGTCAAAATGGCTTAGCTTTGCCAAGATCAAGTATAAATGTTACTTAACGTGTTCAACACGAAACATGTGTTCACAAAAAGTAATATAAATCATACTAATATTATAAATGCGAAAGTTTAGATGGATGGATGCATGCTTGTAGCCTAAAACTGATCTCAATAAAATTTGGCATAGATGTAGAACATAGTTTGGAAGAACACGTAGTTTTGTTTTTCTTTAATTCTACGCAGAGTCGCGGGCGAAAGCTAGTATTATATAATATACGTACTAAAAATTAAGAATTCAGTACCTTTTAATGTTTGCTTAGTCGAGAATCTTTTATCGATGTTATTCGATGACTCCGATGACCTGTTTGACCGTGAAACTTGTTTTGCCTGTGAAATGCAAGATTGTATCCATGTGCATATTATCTACAGTAGTGTGCGTACTCCGCACATTAGGTCTGGTACATACTTCGTCAGTACAGTTGGCACAAGCCAGGCATGGATTGTTTAGACTCACTGGCGATAGTTTGTGTTTACATTATATTAGTTCCCAGTTCAGTTATTGAGTGCTACTGTCCAACTGTATTGGCCGAGTGTGAACCAAGCATTATGTCTGTTTCTGTATATATCCAATGTCTACACTCGATAATTTGTATCAGAATACACAATACGTAATTACACAGCGCTGAATTATTTTAAATTTCGTAATTATTTTACAACAAAATGAAATAACCTCTTGTCTCGATATCCTTCTATTCTGTTTATACTCTCTGTCCTCTTTCCATTTTTCTAAAGCTTCTTGTTGTTTATTTTTTAAATAAATGTATTGTGAATACCATTTATAATGCGACGTTACATCAACACAATTCAATCCTGTGGAACAAAGGCTTAACGTAGAAATTTCTTCTTTGATTTTATTTACTTGTTTGTGTAATTTCTTTATTAAAAATATATTTGCCACGAGCAAGCGGCCACCTTAATCTGCCAAATGGCGAAGCGACCGCTGCCCAAAGACATCCGCAATTGCAGGTGCGTTGTCTACCATTATCCGACGGAGGAGAAGACGCACATAATGAGGATATTTCCCCATCCTATGCATCTCCTCCACCGTCAAATCCACTTCCTCTTCCCATCCTCTTCTTATAAGAAACGGGTGATAAAGAGAAAGGGACTAAATTAGGTCTCCGGCACCACACTCATCAGACGAAACACGGAATTGCTTCCATTTCACGCCTGTCCTCTGCGTGGTCGTGGTATTACTACGGGAGTGCCGACCTATTCGTGCTAAGATGTTAAAGCGGGCACTACCACTGTTAAAATATAATATAGTACAGAAGAGAGTATAATTTATGTAAACCTGAAATCTTTGACATGACTTCGTCCTTGAACTGATCAAATTGTTCAACATTTTTAATGTCGTTCGTATTGGCTTCGATATTTCTGGTGTTAAAATGTTTACTCCATATCTGTATAAAAATATTATGGTTGTATTCGTTCCAACCGTTATAACGCTTGCTATTTGATACGAATTCTTGAAATCTCTGCACTTCCTGTAAGCAAATCTATAGTTAATTAAAGTATGTACTGAGGTATGACGATTGTTAAAGCGTAGACGCATAAAAAGGGTTAGCATTGTTTTAGTATGAGAAATTAAGACTAAGGGATGATATGTAAATGATACTATTTAATAGTCTTAAAATAGAAATATTTTTTGAATATCACCCAGGCTAAATCTAGTAATCAATATTTTACTTACCGGACACTTGAAAGGGGAATTTCTAAGTATTCTGACAGGACTCGGTACGATTTCGGTGAACTTCTTTACACGGGATTTGTTAATTGACTTTTTTAATTCCTTTTTTTCTTTTTGATTGATCAATAACTAAAATGAAGCCACAATTGCTTTTATTGAATAAATTACATAAAAAGTTCACATTTAAATTATTTGAATCTACATAATTCTTCAACGTAATTATTTATAATTAACACATTTGTGTAATAAAATTGATTTATTTGCTAAAATATATACATGAAGAAAAAACTTTTCCCGCTATGTTGTTTGATTCAGAATTTACTTAAGTTGTCTAAAATCATCGTCTCAAACTAAACATGTGGTGGTATGGTCCAACTTCTATTTGCATTCATTTACACTAATAGAATTAAAAAAGCGATTTTTTTTAAAATTAAGGATCCGACTGCGAAAGAAACGGTGTTTCTTACCTCATGTTCAATTTCATTCGCACTAATTTTTAACGCCGTTAGTTCACTTCGTAAATATGTTTTGAACGTTCTTAATTTCTCTTCTAGCCGTAAAACATCTCTTTTTACTTCGTCGATATCTGAAAGAAATATCGACATAAAGAAATTAGGCACTCTCCAATTAGAAAATGTAACAATATTTGTGTTAAATATTACTTGATTTAGTTATTTAAACTAACCGAGTTTTTCGATGTCCCCTCTAGCATCTGTGGCTATTTTAACATCCTCCAACAAATTTTTAATTTCGATTAAGTTGCTTTGCAATGATGATTCGTATTTTTTAAATTCAATTGTAGCTTTAAAAGTTGCAAAATCATCATCATTTAATCCCAACTTAGAAAGTGATTTATTAACTGAGGAAGTCAATATATTTTCTTGTATTTTAAGTCTTCTTAACTTTGCAAGAGTAATGTTATCTAATTCATAAGAAGGATTACTTGATTTGCTCATATTCAACTAAATAATTATTATCAGCTTAAAAATAAAAATATTTACACCAAGTTGTCTTATCGACCAAACAAATTATAATGGCTTGTTGTGGTTGTTATAGCAATTAACAAACGCGAATAATAACGATATCGTTATTTTTGTTACTATAGCAACTAAGTGTTGTCTATATAAAGATACGAAAAGTATTTGAATTTTGAAATTGAGAATTTTCGAATCGATTTTCCCCTTTCTCCCGATTAAATATTTTTAACAGAAAAAGTAAGAACTCTCAAACGATTCTTCTCTTCTCTCAATAATTATCAGATGATTAGCTAACGACGAGCATTAGCGATCTAAGACCATTATTGTCATTTTTCATTGGTTGAAAATGAAATCGATTTCAGGTGCTCGATTTCAAAATTCAAATATTTTTTTACGGAAAAAGTAATAACTCTGAAACGATTTTTCTCATCTCTCAATCAGCCTTAAACGATTCTCTAACGACGAGAAACTTTTGAACCGTCTAAGTCCATTATTGACATATTTAATTGTAATTTCATTGATTTGCATTAAAAAAAATAGGAATTTCTTTGTACGGCGAAGATACTCAATCTATGATGTCAAAAAAGTAATCTATTCTTTGACAGTGCCAGAATACTTAAACGTCAAAATAGTAGATGTCAATGTCATGTCCGTAAAAATCTTTCATTTTTATTTAAAATTAATACAAATATAAATTAAACCAATATACAATGAGTTATGTGAGTGATTTATCACAATCTAACGAATATTTAAGCTTTAGAAGCAGCATTCCATTGCGGAAAATAGTCGTTGATTCTGACGGTTCCAAGGTAAACAAAAATTGTTAACAATGGCATTGAATAAACATATTTATGCTAATAAAAAGTATTCACAAGTGTTTTTAGAACTTAAATAAGTCGCCGAATTATCTGTTTTATAGGCTTGGCGTATATTTGATAGCGGACCAAAATCAGTTCGCTGTCCTTTAATATGTTTACCACCAGTATCTGGGACTGCCGACGTGTTTTTTATGCAAGTGATGGGTTTGGCCTCGAGAGGTGTTCGCGTTATTGCGGCCGAACCACCACCGTACTGGAATATGAAAGAATGGATTGATGGTTTTAAACGACTCATTGATTATTTGGAGCTAGACAAGGTTCATATATATGGTGCTTCACTAGGTAATTGGTTACATATATTTGTGAAATATATAACTTACATACTCCACAAAATTAATTTAGTGATAAAACCTATACTTCTAAATTTTTTAACCTAATTCCATGTCTAGATAGAGTAATATATGGTAGGTAAAAAATTGTGGATGAATACATCAATTACTAAGTAAATTAACTTTTTTCTAGGTGGATTTATGGCTCAAAAATTTGCTGAGTTAACAAGAAACTGTCCAAGAGTGGCCTCACTGGTACTATGTAATACATTTACAGATACTGCAGTTTTTGAATATAATGATTCGTCAGCACTTTTCTGGTTGCTTCCATCTTTAGTGCTGAAAAGAATGTTAATGGGCAATTTTACAACAGACAAAGTTGATAAGAGGATAGCAGAATCTATTGATTTCATGGTAGAAAGGGTAAGGATTTTTTTTTAAAATAAAATGACCAATTACAAATGTTAATGATTACATTGATGAGTTACCTACAGTTAGTATACAGTAGACCTAGAAAGAGATGGATGGATTGCGTGAAAGGTGACATGATCAAAAGGGGAGTGATGACTGAGATGACATATGATAGAGTTATGTGGAGGACAAAAACCTGTTGTGCTGACGCTACAGGAGTAGGATACGGAGGAACATGATGATGAATTTATGAGTTACATTTTAGAGTGACCATGATCCCTTGTAGAGAAAACCCCTTTTAAACAAAGTTAAGAGGGTTAACTATAATTATGAAACAGATATTCCACCCACACATCTGTAATTCCTCTGGTATTGTGAATGTGCATGGGCATTGTTGTTCATCTGTGTCCCAACATCCCATCCTTTACTTACCTATAAAAAATATATAACAACCAAATAAGAATAATAATATTGTGCTTCCCTTACTATTCCTGTACATTACTTAAGGCTTTGTCCACTGGTAACTTAGTAAGCTTGGTAATGGTCGAAGAATTTTTTAAATTTATCTATTAGTTTTCTAGTTACACTAAAATATTAACAATTACTCTTTATATTAGTTATTATTATTAGAATATGTGTTCTATCAGACTATTTTCTATGTCTATGCCAAATTTCATCAAGATCCATTTAGCAGTTTAGTCTACAAACAATAAACCATACATCCATCAAAACTTTTGCATTTATAATGTTAGTAAGATAGATATTGCTAATTTGTTTTTTAATTATTATTTCAGCTCGAATCCCTCAACCAATCCGAGTTAGCATCAAGATTAACGCTCAATTGCAGTCCCTGCTACATACAACCTCAACTGTTAAATGATATGCCAATAACAATAATGGATGTTTGGGACGAAAGTGCGTTGAGTTCACGAGTTAGGGAAGACCTTTACAAATCATATCCGCAAGCTAAACTGGCACATTTAAAAAGTGGTGGCAATTTTCCATATCTTAGCAGAAGTGATGAAGTTAATCTGCACTTACTGGTAAGTTATTTAAAACTTTACAAGTTATCATTTTCTATTAGAAATCTGAGCTCATGTAATATATTAAAATCTATCTTATCACATCATGTAAAACATATAAATAATTATCGGCGACTGGCTATGTTATATGTGCAATAATAATAACATGTAAGTCATAATCTCCCCTATCTTATCCTACTCTCGTAGGGTCGGTGCACCTGGCATTCGTCCTCCAAAAAACTATCATTTGTCATCTGTCATCACTCCCTTGGTCATAGTAGCTTTCATGCAATCCACCCATCTCTTTCTAGGTCTACCTCTTTCAGTGTACCCTTCCATGCTCATAAAGTTTTACTTGTAACATGCAATTCATCCCTCAAGGTTAACCTTTATTGAATACCATTAAAGTAGCCTTAAGCAAATTGTTGGATTTCTCAAACAATGATCATCAACATATTAGAGTTGCCATTGTCCCTACAGTGGGTTGGCACAGTATGTGCCGCTCCATACATTTCTATCAGCCATCATATCTGAATCCAAGCATATCCTCTTTTACATAATTCATCCATAATTTCGTTATTCTTCTACCTTTGTAGCCATCCTCGTTCAATCTTAACACTTTCTGGTTTATGTCCTCATCCTCTCATCCCATAACATGTCCTTACCACACTAACCTTATGATTCTCAATTTTTCGACCACTTGCGCTACTTTGAAACTTCCTCTAATATACACATTCTTAACCTTGTCCCTTTTTGTTACACATCCATTTTAACTTACGCATCATAAACTATGATCTGATGACCAAATGAAATGGGTTATCTTGTTTTAATTTAAATATCATCAAATTGTATGAATTAATCGTTAATATTTTTCTATTCTAATCTTGAAAACATTAAAGCTTAAGTCCATTGACTCTTAATTTACATTTAAATGATATTTATTTCAGATACATTTACGTCAATTCGATGGCACGGAGTTATCGTCATCATATTTAAGTCTTGTACCACAAGCGAAGTCTGGCAACAATTCTGAACAAGCCTCCGTCAGCTATTTCAATCAGAGTGATAAGTTTGTTAAAATATCGTGAAACGGCGAATATATCTCTATTGCCTTTGAAATAAGGTTGTTTTTTATTATGCATTTCATAGAAATATTTAAATATTTATCTTAGAATGGCTGCCATTTATATTTAATGCATATGCAAATTATATTAAATAGTATGGGTACAAGATCTGAGGATTTCTCTTAAAACTTGTATGTTTCAATTTAAATCAAGTGCCTTGCTTAGCATTTATAATTTTTTTTTAAGGTCGTTCGAGTTTTTCTTTGTAATACGAGCTAAAAGACAATACAAAATAGACTGTTTATGTGGTGATATAAATTAATATTTTGAAAGAATGTTTAAAACTTTTTTGTATGAAGAAATAAGGTTATAATAAAAATACATTCCTCTTTTTATATTTTAATCAATAAAGAACTCTATACTTAACAAATCTATGTTTCTTTTTCTAAATTCTGTTGTGTTTGTTTTTTCTTTTCTTTTTGAAGTTGTAGAGCTTTCTCCCTTTCTTCGTCATCTGAGAAATATTCCGCTAAGCTGTCATCAATAATCGGTTGACCAGCTAATGTTGATCCCTTCTCCGTCAGTGAATGTATAGGATTATCATACACATCAACACTGGGCTGATTGTGCTGTTTGTTCTGAGCACTTATTGTTGAATAAATTGACATCGCCTGAAAATTAAAGTTATGATAAACAAAAATCTATAATAATGTAAATTTGACAAATTATTTTAAAGTAACTAAGACAATTTAGTAACATTTAAAGACAATATTCGCTGGTAAAGTAGCCTAGAAGTAATCAGCACTGGCATAATGGTTGGTTCAATCTAAGCTAGTACAGTTGAATAGTAGCGCTTTACTAACTCTCCAGTGGGTACATACAAATTATGACTGGTTAGCGCTACTGTCCGCAGAGTGTGAAATGGACGGAAATAGTGTGTGAATGTGTATATGTCTCTATTATATCAGTAGGAATGAAAAGGACGGCAAGTGTGTGGATGATGTTGTCTCCGTTATAATGGTGGTAATGAAAGGGACGGCAAGTGTGTGGATGTTGTTGTCTCTATAATATGAGTGTGTGAGAGGGAGGGACAGTGTACCTGCGCCACCAGGGTGGAGACGTCTCCTGCGTTGGCGGGCAGGATGAGCGTGTTGTTGGTGCGCGCCAGCTTGTTGAACGCGGCCACGTACTGCTCCGCCAGGGTGAGGGAGGCCGCGTACTTGCTGTCCTATAACATGAATTTCCATCGTTATCTATACTAATATTATAAAGTGGAAAGATATATATTTTTGGATTTTTGTATGTATTGAAATAACACAAAAACTACTGGGTCGATTTCAAAAAATTTTTCGCCATTAAAAAAACTACGTTATCAGTGAATACCATAGGCTATATTAATATTATAAATGCGAAGGTTTGGATGGATGAATGTTGGTTAGAGTTAGTAGCCTAAGCGCTTGAACGGATCTCGATGGAATTTGGGATAGGCATAGATGCACTTTCGTTTTTTTTAACTCCACGCGTACAGAGTCGCGGGCGAAAGCTAGTATAATATATTTGCTACTTTTGCATTTATAATATAAGGAAGTTTACCTGCTGGGCCAGTGCGCTAGCTACGAGCTTGAGGCCGCGAGCGCGCGCGTCCGCCACCGCTATCATAGCCTGAGCCTCGCCTGACGCCTTGTTTATCTGCTCCTGCTTCTCTGCCTCTGTTATATAATTAAATTAATAGGACCACTGACGCACCGACATGAGCGTCAGTGGCTCAAGTTATAAGCACTCGACTTGTAATTCAGATTATGTCTAACTGTCACCCTGCTCTGTTCCCACGTGAGTATAAAGTTACATCCGTCGCACCTTTTAGTCACCAGCCACCAATAAGGTGACAGATGAAACCGTTATCAAATAAAACAATTTACCACCGTCCCCTCGTAGCAAAAGGTGGGATAGACTAAACTTTTTATTCTCATCCGTCCCCACGTGGGGAAACAACGGTGTGACGGTTGGGAATAGTCTATAAAAATAAATCATCGTGAAAGCGAAATTAGCCCTCGCCTTGGAAATGGACGCCTGACAGGTCTCACTAGTTGGTTCTGTTATGGATCATACTAGCCGTCTTTAAATCCTTTTTTATTATTAAAGTCTATAGTATTAAATATGCTAGCCTTAACTGAATGAAGTCTAGGCTGAGTTTTGACATCTATAAGTTGATTCATATTCTAAGAGTTTATACTATTCAAATTAGAAGATAGTGAGTGATGGTGGCAGGATGTCTTTTAATTAATATTATTTGTCTTAAAACTTACCTGAAGCTAGTATCCTTGCTTGCCGCTTGCCCTCTGCAACATTAATATCCGCTGCCCGAACTCCCTCAGATTCCAATATGGCGGCGCGTTTCCTTCGTTCAGCTTCCACTTGCATTTGCATCGCTTCATGCACACGGGTTGGTAATTTTATATCACCTGAGGAAATAATTCTAATTTACTAAAATGCGCATACACTTATGATATTGAAATGTCAAAAAATGAACAGTCAAGAACAAGGGTAAAAATATTATTTTCTAAACCTCATCATCATCTTTCTCCTTATCCTACTCCCGTAGGATCAGTGCAACAGATTTTTGTATTTATTATTTTCTAAACCTATTATTGTTAGTTATCCTTCCCTTTTTTCTAAGGAGTCTTGACATAGTATGTATTTCTCTTTAATATACATGTATTAAATGTCATATATGAGTTCCCTATCTTCTTTTTTATATTAGTATTAAAAATTCTTACGTATTTCATATCGAAGACAAGCAATGCCCCACGCCTCACTGGCTTTGTTGATAGCATCCACAATAGACACATTCAGAGACTCCCGCTCCCTGAACACCTTGTCAAGGGATATTTTACCAAGCTCCGATCTCATTGTAGTCTGTGCTAATTGTGTGATTGCAAACTCTGGATCTTCCACCCCATATGATGCTAAAAATTATATAATAATATTTATATTGTGTAAATTAAACCACAGCAAGTTATACTGTTTCCATATTACATACTGGCTATTGTTCAAGACTTCATTAGCATGGGATTAAAAAAAAATGTAACAACACAGCTTATTACTTAGTTATTTCAGTAAATTCAAAAATACACATTTTCCCTCTTGATAATACTAGGATAGATGAACTTTACATAATGTATGTAATAAATTTATGTTATAAACTATATAACATATTAATTTTAATTTAATTAACTATATCATATATTATATAACTTATTTACTATATATTTAAATACAACATAAAAATTAAAGCTTTGGTAAATTATACCCATGGATATAATGCTATTTATTTATTTAACACATGGAAAACTTATAGCCTAAATTAATTTAAGTACCTATAAACTAGGTGACTGAGAGCTAGTAAAAAGTTATGTTAAGAATTTTTTTTTAATTGAACATTAAATAACTGTAATAAATATTTACCCAAGTAGGGATCAACAATCCTTAAGTATAGGACACCATCTATACTCAATGTAACATTGTCAGAAGTAATGGCACTCTGTTTTGGCACATCTATAGCTATTTCTTTAAGGCTCTGCACATATTTAATTTTGTCTAAAATCGGCCAAAGTAAATTGAGTCCTGGTTCAAGTAATCTGTGAAATTTTCCCATACGCTCAACAATCCATGCCTAAAAATACATGTAAATTTAATATATTAATCATGCAAATTATAACCATTACAGTTGTAATCAAAATTTCCATAAATCTAGCACTTTACATCCTGAAAATAAAGGTTTTTATTTCCATGCTTTTACATGGGTGGATATTATAAGAATAATTGAATAATAGGACTATTCTATCAAATAATGTAAACTTTAAACTTTATTATACAAATAGTAAATTGCATAAAATAAAATCCTTTTTTTAAATGACAGGTTACTACACTCAAATAATACAGTAGACGGCAAGTAACTTTAAATATGATTGAAATAGAGGGAAATAATCCGATATCGTTTAAAATATGAATTATACATATTTAATTTAAATTACACATTTTCTTTAATGTCAATACGCGATAAATAAAAAAATAAAAACTAACCTCTTGTTGTGGAACAAACATTATAAATGTATTTATTGGAGTTGTAGATCTATGCCGCGTCGCTATGCTGTAAAGTAATTTTGCTTCATTTTTGTGTTCAAACTTAAATACATTCTGAAAATCAATAAATACAAATTAAACATCTTATTCGAATGACTATATAAATCTTGATGTTAAGCCTACCTTTAAAGGAAGAGCTCTAGATAATAGGAATTTTGAACGGGTAAACATATTTGTATGTTACTCTTCACTGTTTTTTTGTTTGATATCTTTTAAAATCTTTAATATTCACACTAGAACCACTTTTTATGCCTCCCGTTCATATCCAAAAATTGTCAATGTCAATTTGACATATGTCAGTATCCCCACTCCTCACTCGATGGCTTTTCGTTTGGTTTTTACATTATCTACAGACATCATGATCGGGCGTATAAATGTATTTGATTTTTATTTTTAGAACATTTCAAGTTTTCTTAAATTAAAGAATTTTACAATAAAATTGTGATTTTTGTACGTATTAAGAAGTTGGTACCGAAACTATACATTATTAGTAGAATAGATACCCTGTAATATTACAGGAGTTTACAAACATGTGATCATGAGTTGCAAGTTGGCTGATTTTAAGCGGACAGTAATTTTTTATTGACTGTAATATCTTACAAAACCATGGTTAGTCATTGGTTAAGACAAGATTTGAAGAACTGTAGACCGACAAGATAGATTTTCATAATCAACTGATAGAAGCGCCGCTTTCGCATCATGCTAGAATTCCTTATTTGTCTACCTTATTTTCCCCTACAGACTTACAAAAGTTTTTCAATCTTTGTGTGTCCGGTTAGTTATAAATTGTATAAATTAGCTTAAAAAAATCGTAAGTATAATAAACTTTCCACTACAGGGAAGTCCAGAACAATGGTCTATTGTTGAGTATCAAGTGATATAACTACAGGTGGCTATAAAAATATAATAAAACAGAATGTATACAGCATCCAAACACATGCTTTATTATCGAATATTTTACATAACGTCCTCTTCGTGTATTACCTACAGTAAATTTCCAAACCGCTTATTATAACTTAAATCTACACTAAATGATACGTTTCGGACGACATTTTAAATTCTGCATCAAACAATATTTAGGACACCATTAGTAAAACAGTATTTTCGAATGGTAAGCGACTTATATGGTCATTAATATATCAATGCTTCACACTACATTTAACTCAGTACAGTTTGAGGTTAACTTAACTTCTAATAATCTAATGGCTTGATTTCTATTATGTTGCTCTAATAAAATAGATGTTGAAAACACTATAAATATTACATGAAAAATATAGCAGATATTATTTTTAAAATCCAATAAGTCTAAGCCCTTATCTGTAAAAATACAGCAAAGATTTAAATAGAATAATACAAACCCTTACATTGATTACGGTATTCAATTCATTATCAAATAAAACAATATCATTAAAAATTATGTTGCGTAAAAACTTTGAAATTCATCTTTACCAATAATTTTGTTTACATAAACATTAAAAAGCGCGTTCCTATAAAAATAAGATTTTCAATTAATATAAACAGTTAATTGGATTCTATTATGGTGGTAGAGAGATTTCTTACAATATACTGCTAAAACATTTGTATGAAAAACTAATGTTTTTATATGTTATGACCAATAATTTTTTTTAAGTTTTTTATAGTATAAAGTGACAAACAAACAAGCGACCGCTGCTCATAGACATCCGCATTTGCTAATGCTGCCTACCTTTAATCTAGAAAAAGGGACGCAGGAGAGTTACACATAGTTCTGTTATTGGTAGAAAGAGATAGAGATAAAACAAAGTAACAACCAATGTGAAGGAATGAGACAACATTAGTTTGAAAACGCCACTTGTTTGTAAAGGGATATTTAAATCTTTGAGATACAATTACCTACACAAACTTTATCTAGTGCACATGATAAAAATGAGAATATATGTAAAATTTTGATTACATATACTAATATATGATGTACTCTTTAAATGTATTTTTTTGTCTTTATTGTTTCCTTTATTATGTTATCGTATCAATCCTACTTCAAAGCTTGTTAAAATTACAAATAAAATCTCTGTACATTACAAATTTCATATGTTTACAATGAACTCGACGAAATTATGTACATTTTGCCCTAACACTGTTGTGATGTGTGCCAAATAAAAATTCTACATGCAAAATAAACAAAAAAAAGCAAAATTACAATTTAAACTAATTAAATGTATGACATCTGGTAAGACACTAAAATGAGATATTTTATTTACTACAGAGTAAAAATGCTTTTTATCTGTACATATGCTTGATGTAAAATTCATACAGTGATAAAAATTGTTTAATAGACAATATCATGCAATAAATAACATAATATTGCCTAGTTTTGATGTTTATTAAGGAACAAAGTAACGAAACAATCCAATCACTGCTAATAAATAAAACAAGTCTGTTCCACAATGTCCAAATAAAGTCCTGAATTAGAACTTATTTTTTAGTCGGCATTTCATAAGTTCCAAATAAGTTAAACGCAACTATTAATTAGTAAACCTTGGACATTGTGAAACATGCTCTTAGACGACTATGAGACTAACACACGGACCTAAGACAATATTTTCAATATTTATTTTAATTAAGGTTACAAAATGTAAATGAGTCCAAGACTTCTTGTTGAGGAAAATTTTCTTACTAACCCATGAATTATGACCAAAATTTAAGGATATAAATTATAGTTCAAGTACATTAGCTTGGCTAGAAATATAAAACATATATTGAGAAAAAATATAGTACCGATTTTTTCACATATTTTAACGTAATGTAAAACTCTCATCCCCATTACAGGGTTATTTCCCTGGTCAAGCTATAAAGCCACACACGTTTAGGTATAATTTAACAGGTAATTATAAATAAAATAATAGTTAATTAACGGTTTTAATTTAAAAATTCATTTAACGGTCACAGCAGTGTAAAAAGCGGTTTTAAGTGACGTCACATTCCATTTGGCTGAATTAACATAGAAATTTAATTTTAAAGTTCGATATAGATCTTGCTAACGTATTATTGATAAAACATTTTTTATGATGTTAAAACGATTTTTAATTAATGACTTACAAAATTAACCAAAGCAACTAATATATATTGTTTCTTCCATTGTCATGGTTTTCCTGTATTCGGCACATATTATGGAAAATCGTTACTTAAATTAATTAATGACAATAATGTTTATTCTAAAGCGTTAGTCAAGTAAATTTATATTTTTAAATTTATTTTTTATAGACATATAGCATGCCAAATAATTTTCTCTCACATTAAATTCTTTAGTTATTAACTATGTCTAAATTAATACATTTTAGGATTGAGCTAGAGAAATCATTTTGTATTAGAGCCAAAATTTGTTCTTAAAAATGTAGATAATATAATCTACATTAAAGATGTTTAGAATATATATTTCACATTACGATAGTCCTTAATTTTATCTGTACCCAAGTTTAATTTTTCAATTTTTTCTATGGATATTTAATAAGATAATGGCAGTGTTTTTTTTATATTTGATACGAACATTGATTTATTCATAGTCATAATATTTAATTAATTTTGAATCTCAATACATTTATACTTCCAAGGTTTTTATCAATATGACAGCCTGAATTATTTAATAACCTCGAAAGAAGTGAAACGTATTTTCACTTTGAACAAATTTGATAGTAAATAATGTTTGTATGTAATTTCATTTTGCTTGTTTATTTATTCTTTGCTTTTTAGATTCGTTCATTTGAAAGCTATTTATATTAGTAAAAATATTTATTTTTACATAAAATGAGATCCGTATTCATGACTAAATAACGCCTGAACATTTAAAATGGATTAGAAGTTTCTGGAATCATTTACATTTATAAGTACTAAAGAGAAATAATTTTTACATTGATTTATTGTTCATACACAAGTCATAGAGAAATAAGCTAAAAGATAAGCCTTTATAAAGATTTTCTTTTACAAGTCATTTAATATGCGATTATTAGTCAATTCGCATTAAGACTATATCGCGGCTTTTGATGTGATCAATATTCAAACATCAATCGCAAAATAACGAAACAAAGATTATAAACACACAGAGAGGCCTATTAATAAAATAGGTAAGTTAATTTACAAACAACAGATAATATTTAAATAACTCGTGTAATATCAAAGATTATGATCGTAATGAAAAGTATGAAAATGTAAAAAAAAACATACAGAGGAATTGAGTACCTCCTTCTTTTGGGAAGTCGGTCAACAAGGCAATATGATCGTACATATAAAACTTTTTTTTCTTTTCCATTAAAAAGTGGCAACATTTAGTGGTACATATTATGTTTTTACCAAAACAAAATGATAATCTTTTAACATCATCCAAATTAAAACTATAACGGCCCAAAACGCAAAGAAACTATGTAAAAATATGTTGTTCATAAACTTAACGTAAGCAGTAATCAAAATGTCCAAAAGTGGTCCAGAAATTATCTATAAAGGCATAAATGTGACTGCGTGTGTCTAAATTTTATACAAAACAAAACTATAAGCTTACGTTTCTTCAACAATTTAGGTTCATTCCGCATATAGAGGCCTGTCTACACATTTAAATCTTTGTAGCAAAGCGTTCGGATACTACTTCACTACTGATATTCACAATGTCCTACAGATAATAAAGTTTCAAATGTCTAATGTCAAACTGACAGTGACGTTCGCCCACAGATAATCAATGTTCGAGATTTCACGATCGTTTAGAGGTAGTGTACGGCTTGTGTCGCGACTTTGTGGTCCTGGTCTTACTGGTCCTAGTCTTGCTGGTCCTAGCCTTACTGGTCCTGGTGGTCCGTGCGCGGCGTGCCGGTGGTGGGGGTGCGGGCGGGGATGGGGGCGGCGGAGAGGGCGGCGGCGGCGCAGGCGGGGCGCGATCTCACGACTCCCCATTCCCGCTATCATCGCCATCCCCCTCGCCGCCCTCGATCTCTTCATCCGAGTCAGTATCGAGATCATCGTAGTCATCATCGTAGAAATCTGTCATGTCCAACTGAAAAATAAAACGTTATTGTTGAACATTTAAAAAATAGACGAGGCATAATGAACAAAATCTGTTCACCGGTACTTTCTCTAAAGGTACTATATCAGTCGTCAAGTTTAGTCCGCCACCTTGTAACTTTGTATTGACATGTGTAATGACACATTTTGAAAATGATGACCTCCATCTTTTGTAAAATAAACTAAATAGTATTACAAAATAAACATTTAAATATTATTTAATGACACCTATTGGCAATTCATTTAAATAAATTAATTAAATAACAATGTGTTGTTGATGTTGAGGATAGCATTATTGAGATTATGTGAAAAATGTTTAAAATGTCAAGCATGCCTTCTCTGTATATTTTTTGAATATCATTGTCAAAACAAACATTACAAAGATTCGGAATGTGAAGATGGAAATTTCCAAGACTCGTTTAAATGATGTGAAGTAAATAAGAGATACACATATGTATTTAGCATGAAATTATGCAGTACATTCTGCTGCTTAGCCGCGTTTTTACATTAATGAATTTTAAATTTGACATGACGCAAATCCTTTGCAGTTCTGTCTATCGAATCGAATACATTTATGAAATTACCTGAGGCTCCTGCGTCGTAGATTTGACTTGCGTTTTGATACAGTAATCTTCTAACGTGAGAGGTACAACTATACCCTCTTTTTCCGCTTCGACGCGCGCTACCTGGGCTTGTTTTCTGTAAAATACAATAAATAAATTAACATATGATAAGAAAGCTAAATATTTGTCGTCCTATCCAATATTGTTAAACTATTACGAAGTTTAAAACTACGCGGTCAGACGAGATTATTAAAATTCAACTTGGCTTTATAAAGCAATTCAATTTATATCACATAAATTATAAGATAGTCTACATAGTGGAGACACTAACAACTAAAATTACTATCAATTGTCAATGCAAGGTCTTTGTATCACTGTGAAGTGCATAATATCTTTGAAGTGGGAAGAATTTTATTCAACTGGCATTAATAGACGAGACTGCTGTTAGTATACCCTATGAAGTTTTATCGTTTTATTTGTACATTTGTATTACATATTGTTCGCGTCAATTATCTCTTAATCATACTTCATACTAATATTATAAATGCGTTAGATGGATAGACGGATGGATGGATGTTTGTTAGAGTTTGTACGCTAAATGGCTGAATGGATTTGGATGAAATTTGGTATACATACATCTAGAGAATAGTCTGGAGGAACACATAGGCTTATCACTTTTGTTTTTTTAATTCCGCGCGTACAGAGTCACGGGCAGAAGCTAGTTAATTATTAAAATTAAGAATGTGTATATTAGATGAAGTTTGAAAGTAGCGTCAGTGGTCGAAAAATTGAGAAGAAAAATGTTATGCGACGAGTAGATGGGGACATATAACAGAAAGTGAATTTGATGTGGATGACTACAAAGTTGATGGAAGAGCAAAGAAAGTATGGATAGATTGTGTGAACGAGGATATGCTTAACTAGGGAGTATACGACGGCTGATAGAAATGTATGGAAGAGCAACACATACTGGGCCGACCCTCCGCAGGGACTAGGACAAGTTGATGAAGATGATGTCCAGTCAATTACCTTATGATATTTTCGTACTCCTTATCCTTGCCTTTGGATTCACGCCAGCGGCGGTACATGACACTGGCGTCTACATTCGCCGGGCTGAAGGTGTTGGGCTCGTTGAGTAGAGATATAACTGAAAGCAGCACTGTGCGCACAGACTGCGTCGGATTCCAGCGCTCGCAAGGCAGCTCGCCCGACTGCGGGTCGTCTACCGGGGGATGCAGGATCGATATGCACAGGTCACCGTTCTGAAACGTAAACATAACATATCCTAAATGTGATATTTCAACATTTACCTTCTTTCATTGACTCATCAAATTCAAAATTTAATGCCTCTCTATTCATTAGAACTCTTAATATAAAGGCATCCAGAACTGTTTAATAAATTAACCTTTACGACAATATCCCTGCAGGATAGGCGTAAATTATAAATTTACAGGTATTTGGATGATTAGTGGGTAAATTCTTATTACTTATTCACAGTCAGGAAATAACCGAGTTGTGTTAGACTTCAGTTTCGTAAGCAGTTTGCTAGTTAATTCAAGAAGCCGTTTGTACCCTGTACTCTCGTTCAGTTATTCTGTCAGTTAACACGACACCCCTGGGATCGGCAGTAGTGGAAACTCTTAACATAGAATATTAACAGACATTATTTTAAATAAATACGATTAAAAAATAATGTTTTAAGAATATTACCAATTAAATTTAATTCTACCTTCAACGCTGTTATTGTTACGTCACGAATCATTTCAATTCTGTTGTGACAAAAGAGGTGAGACCTTTTTTACTATTTTCCTGGGATGTCATATAGTCTTGATTTTTTCAATTAACTATTATTATTAGTCTGGCCAACCATATTCATAGACTACATAATGTGATGATATTGAAGTCAAGTTTAAATAAAACAGTGTTAGTCTCATACTTTATGCACCCCTTTGTACTAACAATAAGCCGGCATACAAGCGACAATTTATTTGCAATTCCGTATTAAAATTTCACTATAACCTCGCACACAGCGACTGTATCGTATGTCCAAGAAGCATAAAATATAACTGACAACAAGGCTTTTGATTGTATTAGCCGTAAAATATACAACAAAGATTATGCGCACGTCAATCAGTACCGGATCCTTTGGCGATCGATTATTCAGCGGTCAATTTAAATACCTAATCTAAAAGCGAGGACATTTGTGCCTACAAGAATCTTTTACCATATTGTTCTGGGTATTCGATACGCAGTATATTTCTGCATACGAAGCTCGTTATAATGTCTAAGTTCTCTGAATCGATAAGACATTGAGGTGTCTATGTCTGTTTTCGAGACCTCGGATATAAGTTTCTAAGAACATAAATAAATACTTAATAAAATCGAATAAGCACATTCGGTACGACTGTGGCTTATCTTTCCTATGCTCTTTCGTTTCTTAGATTTTTTTAAAACCGGTTTATACCGAAATTCAATTCAATATTTTCAAATTTTTGGAAAATGTTTATCCTATCATAGACAACTTTTAATCGATATTTTTTGCTGGCTTGCTATCGATTTCTTGCATGATTTTGGCATCGACTTAGTATTGTTCTGGAGGCCGTTTAGCCAGGGTCGTGGTGGAACCTTCGAGTTCCTATTGTTTGTGGTCTTTTTGTCGAGTTGCGTACAGGCCAAGGGTATCTATAGTCAATTTGTATTCTATTTTACATTCAATATAGTAATTGTGGAAACGCACTTGTCACTGATTAAATAACTAAAAAAAACTCAATACATTGTTTAAGATTGTCACGTATTTCGACCAAGAGTAAGTAATTATTATTTTGGGTGTCTGTTCTTAAAGGTAAGATGTAAAAAAAATCCAGTGTTGCCAGTGTAAGTGCGTAGATATTTTCAATTCTAATAGACCTTCATATCCAGTATTATATGGTCTTTCTTCTAATCAATGGAGGCAAAATATTAAAGTAATTAAACGCATAAATATTATATGGATCGCCAGGCGTATAGGCGTCAATACCTCGATTAAATTCGCTACTTTCTCTAACGTTTCAATATTCCTTTCACTCTTCCGATGTTTCGCGTAAACGGATTATATGATAAATTATTTTTTATAAAGAGAAATTGTTTTTGGCGGTAACAATTAACAATACTCTCTATTATCCAAAAAAATGGCTCCATATTTTTCGGACTTAATACTAGCTTTTCACAGCGACTACGTCCACGCGGAATGAAAACAAATTTAATAGCCCATATAATCTTAGATTGTTATCTTTTAAAGCGTAAGTAACAAACATGCATCCATCCTTCGCATTTATAAGTAGATTTGTAATGCTAAACGGGGTGGGACTGTTCCTTTGCTAGCCAAAGTAATAAATGTGTCAGGGCAGCACTTTTAAATCGTTCTTAATAATATTTTTGTTTACACAAGTCGTAACAACAAAGAGTTTATTTCTATGATCATTACAAAGTACCAACTTTGATCTCCACGTGTATGAAATTCACGATAAAAACGACTACGGAATCAGATAAATATGGTAATGTAATATCGACTGGGGCAAAGTTAAAGCGAAAATATGTTTTCAGATGTCGTTCAAGAATTATTTCAAATCGTCGAATTTTCTCGAACGTTTCGTAACTGAAACGACTTGTCGGTTGCTTACATAATAAAATCAGTAATAATGTTCGTCAAGAAATCCTACAAGTTTGTGTATTCAATCTAATTGCTCTCCAAAAACTTTCTCTTTTAATTTTATTTCACGCAGTAATTTTGCATCACAAATTAGTTTTAAAGTAAAAAATGAACATTATTTTAGATTTGTTTTATTTGTGTAAAAGTAGTTACTAAGTCTTTTCTTCGACTTTTCGGCGTAGATATCTACTTAGTTTACCTTATTCACTGTCTACCCCCTCGTGTTGCCACATCAGTGTAACTATTTAACGTATAAACATGTATTACATTTAACAATTAGAGAGCAGAAGATACTCTGAGTTTTCGCAACGCGTCGGCTTACGCCACTGCTGTTATATAAATTCACACTGCATCGATTACTCGATACGGACTCTTGCTTTTTTTTAGTTTTCATACGTTAGATGCGTTGCGTGCAAACTGGCAGGTAACCACACATTTTAATATTAACGAATATACCGTATAGGGCAGTACAAGAGGTTTATGCGGCGATGTCATTTATTTTTCAATGTAGTGTAATGACATCATCAACCTGATCTTGTCACTACAGAGGGTCGGTACAATAAATGCTGCTCTTCCATACATCTCTATCATCCGCCATATTTGTCACACTACGCATATCTTCTTTCACAAAATACATCTATACTTTCTTAGAGAAATAGGGTCATGGTTACGTTGTTCCAAATAAATTTCATTAAACATGATATAGCCTTTGTTGGGGATTGTATATTGGACCTCATTAGCCTTGTAATTATTTTATGTAAGCTTAAATATGTGTGCTTGTACTGTAAACTGTGCTAACTGGTATTTGTACATAGGAATTGCATAGTTCCTAGCTCGGTATGGCTAAAGCGGAAGACGTGTTAGTTTGAGCTGCTAACCTCTAAACTACCCTTGAATGATCGCTCAATGTTACACTGTATAATCTTACATTACTGGCTTTTAGACAATAATATAATTGTAAAATTGTATGTCTACTTCTACTTCTACTTCTACTATGAGGAATGATTTGTATTTTTGGACTTTTGTATGTATTCGATTCATGTAAAAACTACTGGGCCGATTTCAAAAATTCTTTCACCAGGTAATTTAATTGTGAGTAACCATATTTACATTTTTTTAAACGCGGATAAAGTCGCTAGCGACTGCTAGTCCTTAATACTCCTGATTGACATTGTCAGATGTTATAGGGACCTATGACCTAGTGTTGCCCCACGATATAGATTCTTCTTAATGATGAAAACAATTGATCCACGTATTAATAAATGCTTATAAAATATTATTTGCGACCCGGTAACTGACGCCCTGACCTACTCTTCAGTGGCCTAGATTATTTCGAATATGGCATATCGAATCAGATGAACTATTGTTTATTGTTGAATACAATATTACAGCATTTATAAAAATGATACTATATTATTTCAAAATGCAACCAAATTATTAATTATTCACTTTTAATGCCAACTGCTGCTGTAATATAGTTCAGTGAAGGATAAATTATCGCAGACAAGCTACGGTAAGAACAGATCAACTAGATAAAAGTTCCGTGTTTTTTTTAAATAACCTGTGATCAGAAATGCAAATTAATTAAAAAAAACGAGTCAATGTGAAAGTAACCTAACCAGTCAGCGACACTAGGTCATATAGATTAGAACGCTGCCATTTGTGCAAACAAAAAGTGCGAAAAAATATTTTTAAGCGTTATCTATGTGCAAACGATCGCACTGGAACAGAACATACATAGTTATTTTGTTATAATTCTTATTTATTAAATGATCAATATATTATCTTTTAATAATATTAACATACATAATTTTATAAATAACTAAATAAGAAATAATCTACGTCAAAATTCTGAGTAGCAACAGTTCATAATATTTTATTTCTGTATATCTAAACCATTTATCCGTTATATTTCGTTCCTTTCCATTGGCAATTTAATTACGTGGATTTCGTAAACAAGAAGTTCCGGATTGCTTTGCAATTTAGCTAGCATCATCTGGATTTGAACTAACGTGCCGTTTCTAAAAAAATATTACCGTCGCACAACCTCTTCTGCCTTATTTATTAGTAAGGTGCATTGATAATTCCCTTGTACATCTCCACAATTTCTACGATAAAACTTAAGGCTTAAAAAGAAGACCTACTAAAGTACTATTCTTAGATCACATTTTAAGCATTAAGTATCAGACATGCACATAGACGTATTTAGAGTAGGAAATGTATTAAAATAACCATAACCTTGCCGTAGAATTGACTAAAAGCTCTTAAATCACTGGATATTTGAATGCGAAGATAGCAGTAAATTACAAAACGTCATAAGGATTAAATCGGGGCTAGAGCCTAACAAGGAAAAGTGCTTCTATTGCGCCTACAACGACGTAGCAACAGCTCGATCTTACTGCGTACAAATACTTTTTGTAATAACATTAGATTTCTTACAGCGTGCGCACACTTGGTTCCTATGAGCTAAATTACTCGATTTTTAGTTGTGTAACTAAACAGTTGAATTGGCTGCGAAACAACCGCAATATAGTTGTGCGATAGTTTAGTCAAAGGTGTGCGCTCTTATAGTTA